TGGATGGCACAGCACTATATGAAGCAGTGGCAGCCATCTTTATTGCCCAGGTCAATGAGTACGAGCTTGACTTTGGACAACTAGTTACTATTAGGTAAAGTATTTCAGTTACATTCAGAAAAATATACATTACTGGTCAAAAGTTTTGAATAATTAAAACTTTTACGTCTGAAAGAAGTCCCTTATGCTTAACCACGGCTGAATTTATTTGATTAAAAAAAACAAAAACAGTAATATTGTGAAATTTTATTATATAAATAAATTATCACAATTTAAAAGAACTGTCATCTATTTTAATATATATTAAAAGGTCATTTTTTCCTGTGATGGCAAAGCTGAATTTTCAGCAGTCATTTCTCCAGTCTTCAGTGTCACATGATCCTTCAGAAATCATTCTAGTATATTAAAAATAAATTATTTTATTCACACATTAGACGCATTAAATAGATCAAAAGTGACAGAAGACATTTATAATGTTAAAAAAGATTTCTATTCAAAAAATACTCTTTTAAACGATCTATTCATCAAAGAATTTTGTTTTGTTTCCACAAAATAAAAATGTCAACACTGATAATAAGAAGAACCATTATAATAATTGAGCACCAAATCAGCATATTAGAATGATTTCTGAAGGATCATGGAACACTGAAGACTGGAGTAATTGCTGCTGAAAATTCAGCTTTGCATCACAGGAATAAATTAAAATACAAAAAAAAAAGTTTTTAAATTGTAATATTATTTCACAATATTACTGTTTGTACTCTTATTTTTGATCCAATAAATGCAGCCCTGGTAAGCATAAAACACTTCTTTCAAAAAAACATAAAAAATTATTTCATTCCAAACTTTTGACCAGTAGTGTACAGTGACAAAGCTGCACGTTCCAATGAAGCTGCATGTTGACTTTGACCATCTATTCTCAGTATCACAGCTACAGCGGCAAGTATCGGAGCAGCTGGAATCCCTCAGGCTGGTCTTGTTACCATGGTTATCGTTCTTACCTCAGTGGGTTTGCCTCCAGATGACATCTCACTTATTGTAGCTATCGACTGGATCCTGTAAGTACAACACACTTAAATACTACAGCATATACACCACAAGTAACTCAATGAAAGTCAATCTCAAGTATCATTTTTCATCAGGGACCGATTTCAAACAATGATCAATGTGCTTGGAGATGCATTAGCCGCAGGAATCATGGCTCATTTGTGCAGAAAGGACTTCCAGAAAGACATCCCATCCTCAAGCAACTCAGAGAGAGTAAGATATATCCACCATGTGCTCATTTACATATCTATATTCCTAACTAGGAAATAAGCAAGTATCGTGTGCAGTGGTGGCCTGTTGCTTACCAGTAACAATAATAGGCCATATTAGATCAAACCAGCCATATTTGACAGCTGCATAATTACTGAATTTTGTGTCTTGCAGCGAGATACTGTGATATCTTTTGGAAACCAAAGCGTGCAGAGTTTTCCCACATCTGAGGTTCCACTTCTGGCAAACAGGGACTACGTCTTAGAGGTTGTCGGTGATCAGGTGATTGAGAGGCCGGCTACCTGTTATAACCTCTGCCAAGTCTAACTTTGACAGACCAAGACACCAAGCAGGAGCAGAAGTTGCCTTGACTTCACAAAAACCTTCCCCCTTTTCCTCCCCTTTGTTCCACATTTGTGCCATTCTGTCTTTTTACATCACAGATGTTACTGTTACCTAAAGTGTCGCCTTTGGTGAACTTGAAAACTAGGACATCTTGGGTGCTTTTGACACCTTAAAATGGGGGGTTTTGTAAAATATATAAAACATTTTTTTAAATGTTCATCTTCTAGAATTGCCTTAAATGCAAAAGTTAATGACAGACCACAATAATAATAATACCACAATAATAAAACCATGTCCAAAAGGTAAACATTACGCAACTAGTAAGTCGACTGGGGCTCCAGATATGGATCATCAGTTGCCTTGTCATACAGTGTACGGTGAAGACAAAATATGATTTGTAATTATAAGAACAGAGATGGTGTCTCTCTTCATTATGTTCACAGTTCAGAATCCCTCTGTTCAATTCATCTGGGATGGGAAGTCGTTGTACACTGGAATTACAAATTGTTTATTTTCTTAATAAAAAATGTAACATTTTATTATTCATAAAGAACAAGAACTACTGGTTATTGGTTTATACTTTAAACCTAAAAGATACACCTATAAATCATATATCACCAAAAACCACCTCTAATCACAAACTAAAAGTGTGTAGAAAATAGTTTAAAATGGAAAATCTTTATGAAAATGTTACCCCGATATTGATTTTTCAGTATACTAATACCAAGACACAAATTTCCAGATTTGCAAAGATGCCCTATATTTTATTTCACAACTACATGTTAGACAGTTGCTCATAACAGATGTTCACTGTAGAATCAAAAAGTATTTCATTAAAAAATTAAGACACACCCATCAATATCAACACATAAAACCATACACAATAAGCTAAATAAATAAATTCCACCATTCAATAACCTTACAGTATTACCTACATAAATTAAGGCTTAAAACAAGCAACCATCCAGTAAATTCTACTTATTATGTCTCACAAATGGCATCTCTGTTGACTATTAAACATTGGGAGATTTTAATCTTTGAAACATCAGGATATCAAAAAAAGATGGTTGCTATAATTACTACTAATTATTACGAAATCACTTTTTAATATTGCACATATGCCAAAACGTGCACAAAAAAAAAAAAAAAAAGAGAATGCCATGGTTAAGTGTTTCATATCAATGGCGTGTAACCAACAGTGGCTGTAAAGCTGCTAATAGGTTCACATGAACCATGAAGTAACAGATGACACTTGTTGATCGAAGTATACTAAACTGCTGCTTAGTGCTTATAACAACTTGACGAGATAGAATATAGTGTCACTGTACAAAAACGGACAATTAGGATTAAATGTCAGTCACCAATAATATAAATATTTGCACGCACACACAATACCAACCTTAAGTCTTGTAGCAGAGGGAGCATAAGAACTGTCTGTGCTGAAAATAATAAAAATCTTACATGAGGCATTGTGGAAAATTAATGGGATGTTTTAACTACAGGAGACTTTATGTGGGGTTTACAAGCTTCTATTTGGAAGACCTCAGGGGGAGTCAAAGCTGAGGGGCATGACTGTACAACCGTGAGACTATGAGTGAGCCTGCTGTCCTGTTTCTAGCTTCACCACTGCTCATCAGCGAGATCTACAGCTGAAAACCTCTGGAACAAGTTGAATATGAACCACTAAAGACGGCTAAATAAACAGCACTCCAGTGGCCAAATCAAAGTCAACCATTGTCAGATAGCTAAGTTGTATATTTAAGATTTGGTCCAATGCCGGACATACTAATACTAAAAGTCCTCAAAATACTCAATTAAAATTAAAATGTGGTTATCTAATATTTCTCATGAGGTCTTTGTGGACTAAAAACTCAGTTGACTGCATCTATAAATATGGAAATAGTCTTGCGTTGACTTATACTGCACCTATAAATGGATAAATTAAAGAACTAATTAAAAGATAAAATAAAGAAACAAAACAAAAAGTTGAGCAAAACAAAATAAAATTTAATGATTGTAAATGCCATGTGAAACAAAATGAAAGATTTCAAAAGGAAACACAAAAGCAAAAGAGAAAAGAAAACACAAAAATATCACAAGGCAGTCTTAAAAAAGCATATGCATTAGTACTGGATATCTATTTTCAAATAACCAACCTAAACTTAAAGTATGTTTTAGCCTAGAGAAACAAAAACAAAAGCAAATGCAAACCATAAACATAAGATGCTGATGCTCAAATGTGATTACATTTTTACATAAATACTCAGTATCTAGTATTCAGATGTCCAAATCTTTTTGGAATATGCTTAGGGATATGCAACCTGCACCTCTGCTGGGGGAAGCTAAACCTTCCATTCATGTCTTTGGTCCATTCATGTCTTAGTTATCAGTCTATTCAGAGGGTCCCTTGCAAAAAATCAGTTAAAGATTTTCCCCTCACAGGCTGTTTATAGACAGTCTGCTTTCTTTACCATTACCTCTTTTTCTCAATGAAGCACTCAGCATGCTACATTTAAAACTCAGATTTTTATAAACAAATGAACTGTTGTGAGACGGATCATGATATTCCTGCCAGACCAAAAAGTGCTACATTACTGAGGGCAAAGAGGAAAAACAACATCAAATTAAGGCATCGTAAATACTGAAGAGCTATGTAGGATGAAGATACTGACAAAAAGACAAAAATCTGAGTTTTAAATCCAGCATCTGGTGAATGAGGTGTCCGATCACATATGGCACATAGCAACAATATCAGGCTAACATCAGAGACACAAATTTGTATCAAATGCTAAATTGGTCAAATATTGGGATAAACCAGAACGCCTAAAACACTTGCATTTGAAGCATCCAACAGCTTAAATCTTAAAAGAAACGAAAAGAAACTGTCAAGCGAGGTGTCTAAACAAGACTTAGAAACATGAACATTTGCGAAGACTTGATTACACTAAAAATAATTTTTCTTTTTCAAAACTGCGCCAATTTCTCTGGCTTTGCAGACAACATCCCTCTCCTTCATTTTCCTGGCAACCCTACTTTCTACTTGTGCGACTTGCTTGTTTTGAACGACACTTGTAAAATCTTGTCCCCGAGGCGGTAGCCGTTGAGGCCAAAAAAATTATTTGTACCATGTTTTTTTTCCTTACAAATATTAAATAGTATTATTTTATAGAAATAGAAAAACAATTAGAAAATATTCTATAGAATTCAAAAACGCATTAAAGCAACCTGTAAAAATTTTTTATCAAATAAAACTCTTGAAATTGATTGATATAAATATTGAAAAGCCTGATAAAAAGGCCACAACCAAGATGCCATCAGGTCTGAGCAATTCAACAACTTTACTTTGTTCTCGCTGCCTTGTTGTCAAAACGGCGGTCTGAACTGAAGCAATGACACATTTAACTTTACACAGGAGCACCTTTTGTCACATTACCTTGATAGTTTTAGACTGTAGTCTCAGTCCATTGAGAGTACTGATTGCTCTTTCTGCATCACTAGGGTTAAGATAGTTAACAAATCCGTACCCTAAACTGTGGCCTAGAGAAAAAAAAAAAGGAAAACAATAAAACAAACAAAACAAAAAAAAGTTGAAACGTTCCAAATACAAAGGAAAAAAACATCCTAATAGCAAATGTTAAACTTCTGGGGGAAAAAATTTAATGCCACCAAACAAATAAATCCACACTGACTTACACATATGTGGGAAAGGCCTGAGAAAAGAAACTAAAAATAAGTTGTTTTTTTGTGTCAACACTGAAATGAAGGCTACACAATTTGTAAATAGACACTTAAGTGCATCTGAAGTCAGAAATCTTTTAAAAACTTTTTTAGCAACATCACGGCTATATGCAAACCCCGCAAATAAAGATACTGCATCCCTAAAACAGCGAAGACTAAACATATTTTCTCAGATCTTCCTCTCAACACTTTTTTTTGGTCTAATTTGAAAGCAGTGTGCCAAGTACTAATAAATACTTGCCTGCTACTTTGTCCCGAATAAGTTTAGCAGACTCCACCTCCCCAATGCTGCTGAAGAGACTCTGCAGCTCATCTTGGCTCATATTCTGAGGCAAGTAGTTGATGATGAGGTTTGTTTTGCAATCTTTAGGCTCATCAGCCATGTGATCTTCGTAACCGTTCGACATGTCATAGACCTCCTGGAAATATAAAAACAAGTTTCTGTGAGGGTTATACACAATGAAAGCAGAAATCAACATTTAATTGGGACTATTTAATGCAAACTCATTGTGCACTCATATAAAACCTGGGAAAATGCTGTAAATAGTATTACTCATTTCTTGCTGTTGATACCTGACAGTTTTTTGTTGTATAAAGAAAAACATGCAATTTAAGAAAATTAAATTAAAAACACTTTTGTGGGAGATTACATTAACATTATAATACTTAAAAGCTAGTCTACATATTATTGCTTTTTTTTTTATTAATAATGGAATGTCCCATTAAATATTTTTTTTAATCAGACAAACAAACAAAACAGTTTTATGGCTAATTTGTGAATTATGTTTTATATTTTTCTCTAGGGTAGAAATAATGCATCTGTACGAGAGTAGTTCTTACAAATGCATCAGTGATTACACAGAAAACAGATATTTTATTCATTTACATAACATTAATTCCACATTCCCACTCTACATGACACAAATAAAAAAAACATCACACCTCTGGGAAAAAAAAAGGGGGGAAAAAAGTAACACCCCAACCATAATTAAATACCTTCAACCAGGAACAGGAACAAAATTGCCTTTCAGAGCATATTTTACCTCTGTCTTACTAATATGTAACCTACAAAATCTGCCTTTAACCAGTTTGTTCCCTAAATTTGCAAGTCCAATATATCACAAAAATTAACTGAAGTGATTAAGTGATAAGAATATATACCAGGCTAAGATAGTAAAAAAAATACAACTAATATGTGACCCTGGACCACAAAATCAGTCATAAGGGTCAATTTTTCGAAATTGAGATTTTGAATATTGAATAAATAAGCTTTCCATTGATGTATGGTTTGTTAGGATATAAAGTTGTCCAAATGAAGTTCAATGCATATTACTAATCAAAAATTAAGTTTTGATATATTTATGGTAGGAAATTTACAAAATATCTTCATGGAACATGATCTTTACTTAATGATTTTTGGCATAAAAGAAAAATCAATAATTTTGACCCACACAATGTATTTTTGGCTATTGCTACAAATATACCCCAGCGACTTAAGACTGGTTTTGTGGTCCAGGGTCACATGAGCAAAAAGACAGATACAACTATATCAACTGGACTGCTGTTATTTTACATGCTATGATCAACACCGCCTCCAGTGGAGTCTAGCTGAAACGGCATGTGACCAATTTATTTGACACAAAAAATAAAATAAGTTAATGTACATTAAAAAAGGGGTCTTGAATGTCTAATGGCACTCTATCAAGGCAAGAAAATGATCACTAGGGTGACCGTGATTATTCTGATATCGGACAGTGTCCCATTCATATTAGAAGAGGGGTCTTATTGTGTATTCCACACGGGTAGCCAGTCAACCTTCAAGGCTGAAACAAACAAGCATTATTACTGACCCTCCCACAACCCAACACTGGAAGTTTTGATAAAGTGGTCCGAATCGCTCAGACAATTCAGCTCACTATCTATCCAACTACTTCAATCGTGAGCTGGCCCCTATAAGCATGGTTAAACTTTGCAGCACTTGCCAGGTCAAATACCTTCAACTGACTTTATGCAACACCTAATAAGATGTCTAGTGCATCTAGTTAAAAGCCTACCTCAAATGAGAGCATTACACCTTAAGTATTGCTTGCTTATCACACAGGCTACAGCACTACAGGGACGAAAACAGCCTACAAGCACTAAGCACTAGAGCCCGACCTATATGGGTTTTTTGGGGCCGATACCGATATTAGGGAGTAAAAAATGCAGATATCGATATATCTGCCGATATTCTTTGTGTATATTATAGTACAGTACCAGTCAAAAGTCAGCGGAGCGCTGCAGTCATTGTCATAATCACCAGACGCTCGGAAATTATGGATACCCTTCAGAGACTGGGAAAAAACACAGAGACATTATTCAAAACAACGCCCAATATCAAGAGAACAGACCGTTTTCTACATTTTCACTGTTTTCTAAATAAACAAACCGAGAAATTTAAAATTATGGATCAGTGTTATTGTAGTATCACTGATACAGTATTATAGTTTCTGTAAATATTCTGAATTAGATTTTATTTTTTCAAGTTCCACTTTTATTTAAGATTATAGTCATTTTGTTGTGTTTTTATAATTTGTAATATTTACACACACACACACATATATATATTAGAGCACAACCGATATGGGTTTTTTGGGGCCGACACCGATATTAGGTAGTAAATAAACGCCGATATCGATATATCGTCCGATATTCTTTGTGTATATTATAGTATAGTACCAGTCAAAAGTTACACTTTCCCATTCGTGTGTCCAAACATTTGACTGGTACTATATATAGAATACAGTATATACATAAACAGAATATATATATACATAAACAAATTTTTTGCAATGATCACTCAAATGTGGTGATCAAACACTTATAATGTGACAGAGATAAGTAATGGAGGCAGGGCATTTAACAATTTAACAATAAACTTTATTATCCAAAATGAGTCTCGGTAGCCCCCCGGGATCGCTTGATCGGTCGGAGCCGGACCACTAATTTAACCACCCATAACTCCCGAACCCCGGGGGCTATCGACACGGGGGTGGTCTCATTCGAAAGCGGGCCTCTAGACGTACACTCGATTCGCGTTCGAGAAGGTTCCTCGAGCTGAAGGCATCCCCCGAATTTGGTGCGGATTCGCCGCGCCGTTAAGGAGATATGGCCGTTCAAAGTTTCAATGGTTTCCATAGACTAAGCTTTAAAGCGTTTCATCCAGGTCGCCTGTAGCAAACAATGGAGGACAAACTAAGTAATTACACCATTTCAAGCATTTTATCTGCGTTATATGTCCTGTAAAAAAAAAAAAATTCATATCGGCGGCATATTCGGCCGATAATAACGGTAAAACGATATATCGGTCGGGCTCTACTAAGCACTACTAACTCCAGCTTACAGATTCAGTATAACGATAAATAAAAGGTTGAAAATCCACATTCAGTCCCTGATGGACGCAAATTCTACTCACTTTTAAGTATCTAACGTGTCCCCTTCTGACTGCCATGAAGAGCCGTCACAGATCCCGACTCTGAAGATACCAAAAACAAAATAAGGTAATAAAAATACACGCTGACAAGAAGGGGTGGTAGGGAAGGCAAAGGCAGGTTTGGGGGTTCAGAGTAAAATAAATAAACTAAAATAAATGAAGAGCAAAAAGATAAGATGAGCCACCTTCTGATATAACCTGTGGAAAAAAGAATTACAACCATCGTCCATTAGGAGTGGTGTAGTTTCAGCGTGTATTTTTAGCACCTCACTTTGAGTCTGTCCTGCCATCACAAAATCTCTGTGATGATATTATATACATGCTGTACTTGTTACATTACTTTACAATGTAAACTATTTTATTTTAGAATAAACACCTTTATTTTTGTTTTCAGAAATGGAAAAAGAAAACACCAAGAATTAAAATACTACAGTGTAAATACTAACTTAAGAGTTTAAAAGCAAACCTTCCTGAACTGCACTATTCATAAAAGGACCGTTCACCCAAAAATTAAAAAAATGTTTCACTATTAAATATTTTCTTAAACAGAAATCAGCATATCATAAAAATCTACCTAATTATTTGAAACTATTTTCGCCTGCTCAAGTAATAATAATGATTAAAAAACACATTTTAACACAAAGTGGCCGATTAACTCTAATCCGACATACGGAAACTGACTTGTAAAAAAAAAAAATTGTGCAACAATTTCTTACAACTAATTGATATCATAGAGGTCGAAGAACAACTGTTCAGGGGACAGTTCCGTATAAATTCCCACGTTTCATATATTCATACAACATATATTAGGGCGGTGGAGCTTATTAACCTTATCAAAATATACTACTGCCATAAATACTGACTACACTATTCAGGCATTCGTAGGCTGTTGGAAAATAAATGAATAAAAGACATTGTAATTCTGCCTAGTCGTGGGGGCGTGAAATTTACAACTACTCCGCAGCAGGACATCGCTCTTCCGGTCATGCTTGTCTAGATTACCTCGCCATTGTTACGGTTCCGTATCTTAGCTACAGAACAACAACCTTGCGGCATTACACAGCATGCTGGTAAAGAATCATCGATTCGAAAATAGGTCGAAGAATAAAATAGCACACAACATGAGGCCTCGTTCCCAACACACCGTCCCCATATTTTCGCGATGACTCGCTCTGTAAATCCCATGCAACTCTCGAGTTCAAACTCGAGCAGGCTGCGCTAAGAGGCCTAACCCTATTAAAGCCAGGCCTCAAACAATGAATAAACTTATAAACGTTACTACATGCTAATAAACAAGTTCAATATAACAAAATCAAACGTTTAAATGCATATCTGGCGTCTTACCAACTTCAACGTCTCTCCAATTCTGCAGTAGAACGAACGCACGCGGAGCTTTAGCAAAACGTGGCTTTTTGGCGCTGCGCTCTCGTGACACAAAAACACACCACAAGGGAACTCTGCAAAGGAAGCAGAAGTTTTAACCCCTCCCACTTTCAGAATCCATTCAGATTCCTCAGATCAAGTCACTAATAATAAAATCAGACATTTTATTCGATTGTATCAGTTTTATTGTGTAAAAGTAAAACGCCCTTGCTGTGTGTGCATATAAAATATTCCTAGAAGAACAGGTATTGTGAAGAGACACACTAGTTTGTACGAGTTTGAACTGAATGATATATCATCAAAGTAATCAACTATATATATAATGTGCAAGCATTCAGAAGAAAAATCACAAGAATTTAATTCCATAAGTGCGTTTTTATTCTTGGTCCAGGATTCGATACTCTTGTGGGGGTTGATGCTTCACTAGCTGTGCCACTATAATCCAAGACATTACCTGAAGACAGAAAGGTTAGAGATGACATTAGAAATCTTGTAAAAGATCAGGGCATAAATGAATTATAATTCAAACCACAGAGCTCACCAGTAAAAAGAGAACCACTAAAGATATTATAATGATGAAGTGCACTGCAAGCAGTAAATTCTCCTCAAGTTTAATTTGACAGCCCTAGAATAGAAAAAAAACAATGTGGAATCTTGCTCCAAACACTCAGATACAAACCTAATTTAAATTAATTAACAAATGAAGCTTAATTTACCAGTGTGGAAACCTTTTTAAAGAAATATTCCAGGTTTCCATGGTTAAGATCTACTGACAGACATCTGGAACCATTATGTGTATTGATTATATGATTATATGTATTGATTTTATAGTAACTGCACAACTGTCAAGACATTTTGTTTGTTTGTTTTTACACAGTGAGGTGCAATATTTTTTTTTCTGTGGTTATTTAATTAAATATAGCTAAACTTGCATTTAACCCATAATACTCCTTTTATGTCGCAATGAATTGGAAGCAATGACAGGTCTTTTCATCCATATTGTGACATTCATCCAAGTGTAACAGATTATTACATTTTTTTTGTACACAATTTTTCATCAGCTAAAAAAAATAATCATAAATGAATGAATCATTCGCAGTGAGATATGTAAACTGAATTAAAAAAATATACAGGGTGAATTTTCATTTCATGCTGACTGTAAAATTAAGCAGAAAAATATTAATGTAGTATCTCATGAAAAGGGTAGCTCAAATGTAATTAGTCTGTACCTCATTATATAGCAGCTGGGGTGAGTTTAAAGTCCCATTGCAGGAGTGAAAGTTTTTGTTGCAGCAGCTCAGAGGAACTTTGTATTTCCCACTATGATTAAACCAGGGTGTTTCCAACCAGTCTGTGTAGTTCTTAACACCGCAACTGTAACAAAAAAGTGAAACAATCTGATTTTGCCAAAAAACACATAGAAATCCTGGAGATTTCTGTGCAAATACCTCACGCTGAAGGGCATTCACTGCTTTGGTATCAGGATCTTGGCTGTTACCACTGTAGTTCTGAAACACATCTTTAAGGGGAGCCAAGTCTACATCAAGCTAAAAAAAAAAAAAGATGTTTAATGTCAAAACCATTTCGGTGAAATACACTTCACTTTTATATAGCCAAATAACATAAAATTCCTATTACCTTCCCTTTATTAGTATATGCCAATGCCGCAGTAGTACCCACAATGCACCACACAATAATGAGAAGATACACAAACTGAAAGACAAGAAATATACAAATATGAACACCACAGTGGATTTTTTCATCTTACCAACCCGTGTCCACATGAAGGTTTTTTGTTGGACACCACACAGCCAATGCATCCACTGATGAAGAGGATGACTCCTCCAACAACAGCCAGCAGTGCAGGGAGAATTATATAAAAGCTGCTAAAGAACACACCATAAACTAGGTATTTATGCAGCAAGAATGAACCACCTAGGCCTGTAATTCCAGCCAGCTGTAAAAAGTGGAGAATGAAGGAGTTAAAAACCAGAGGAACTAAAACAGTGCATGTATTTCATAAATGTCATCTTGTCATGTGCCTTGTGTGTCAGTAGTCATATCATTGTTACTGAAAAACCCAGGCTAATTGTCACAGTTTATTTTGTTAATATTTCTCAGGGACATTTATGAAGAACAACTTGTCCTGAGAGCACAGTTCAGCACTTCATTTAAAATCTACCTTTATCATTGCTGACTCTTGCCTGAATGTAGAGTGCTTTTAGCGTGCTCTCTTGTTTACCTAATGACAAACGACAAGAAGTGCATGATGCTGACAGGCTCACCAACAAAAGTAGAGAAGCAATCTTAATAAAAATTCTGAAACCTCTTCTCGTTAAAGCCAACATGGTTCTGCCTTAATCGATTCGCGTGAACGCGAAATAATCAGTTCTATCAGTCTCTCCTCGGTCCAGTTCAACTTCAACAGTGGTAAAACACTACTAATGTGAAAGCGGACTTTACGGATTTAAATCGAAACCATACAAAACTTCAGAAGTGACCGAATTAACTAACGAGTAGGGGGCACTGGGCCAAACAAATAAACCATTAAAACCATGTATGAAGGGCAAGGTAATAGACTCAAATATGTATATGATAGATAGATAGATAGATAGATAGATAGATTTAGGGCACATTAATTAATAATTAAGAATAAAGGCGCTTCAAAACGCATAAAAAAAGAAAACCGGTAATCACCATGATGATGATATAACAATTATTGAAATTTAAATTATTTTTGAAAACGAACGCAATTGTTATATTTGTAGCATTTTTTAATATAAAATGTTACATTTATGTTGCAATCTGATAAATGCCAAATAAATAAATAAATAAAAACATCAAAGCTGCTTTTATTGGACGTCATTATTTTGCGACACATTTGCATTTCTTGTCATTGAGACTTGAGAAGCAAGATGGCGTCAGCATCAGAACATCAGGGTGCCGCAGACAGCGAACTGGACGAGTTATTAGACAGTAAGGTTTGAGGATGGCTTAAATATGAAAGTATCCACAGTTATAATGTGCAAATGTTTTACCATTTAAATAAAGTTACTGTTTAGTGAACTAGCGTTTAGGAAGCGGTTGTCACAGTGCAGTTGCTGCTATGCTATTGGTCTGGTGCTTGCGCTTGTCACAGTGATTGAAGTTTTTGTAACGTGAAAACATTAGATGTGCATCTGTTAATTAATTAGAGATCGTCACTCTGTCTTTTGTATAGTCACATAAAAATGTGTCAGTTATGTCCAACCAGGTTTTGTATCTAAACGGAGCTCATTATCGGAGCTACTGTGTTTGTACTGGACCACTAGCTAGTTTTGCATCAGTCATATTACATGCCATCAAAACATATATACATATATACCTTGGTACTCCAGTGTAAGTGTTTCCTCATCTGCAGGTGCTCTTGATGATTTTGACAAGACCAATGTGCCTCCTGTGGCCCCTGAGGCCCCCACTGCCCCTGGTGCAAGCACGACCAGTGATGAGAAGGTAATGAACACGTTTTCATTTTGAAATCAAGCCAAAAAATGATCAGAATAACATTGTATTATCTTTCCATAATTTTCTAGGCACTCTTGCAGTTCTACAGAGTTGGTTCCATCATTGCTGCTGGTTAATGTATTTGTTTTCTGTTCTTTTCATCCTCAGCCTCCTCTGTTGGAGGACAGTAAGTTCTTTGAGTCTCTCTTTGATGGTGAGATGGCCAATCAAGCACATGAGGAGTGGGAGAAAGCCATGGCTGAGTTAGCGCAAGAAGAACCTGACCTAATACAGCATTTTCATAAGCTCTCTGAGGCAGCAGGTAAAGTAGGTGAGTGATCTGAAATGGAGCACTTTATAAATGTTGGATGAAGATATGCAAGTTTAGTTATTTGCCTATTTTCCAATTGTTTTGACCTATTTTTATATTTTTTTTATTTAGGCACAGATGTAGCTTCACAACAAGAGTTCACATCCTGTCTTAAAGATACCCTTAGTGGTTTGGCGAAAAATGCAGACAACCTGCAGGTAATGCCGCTTGGAATTTCTCCTATTGGAATGTAATTGAAGGAAATAGTGGTTTTAATTATCAACTACAATTCAAAAGTTTGGGGTTGGTAAGATTTTTTAAAAATGTTTTTAAAGAAGTCTCTTATGCTTACAAAGGCTCCATTTATTTGATCAGAAGTACCGTAAAAACAGTAATATTGTGAAATTATTATTACAATTTAAAATAATTGTTTTCTTTAATTGTTTTAAATGGTAATTTATTCCTATGATGTCAAAGCTAAATTTTCAAATTTCAACAGCCATTAACCCAGACATCAGTGTCACATGATCCTTCAGAAATCATTCTAATGTGATGACTTGATGATCAAGAAACATTTCTTATTCTTATCAATATTGCTTAATATTTATGTGAAAACCATGATTGTTTTTCAGGATTGTTTGATAAACAAAAAGTACAAAAGAACAGCATGTATTTGATCTTTACTGTCAGGTTTTATTAATTTAAAGCATCCTTGTTGAATAAGTTTTAATTAATTTCTTAAAAAAAAAAATCTTTCCGACCTCAAACATTTAAATGGCAATGTATGTCAGAAGATATGTAAAGAAATGTGATGAACATTCATAATTTTAAATGCAGAGTGCAGGGCTGGCTGGAGATGATCTGGTAAAGACCTTAGAGAACCTGGGATTGAATGAAAATGGGGAGGGAGGAGATGATGGCAATATTCTCCCAATAATGCAGTCCATCATGCAGAACCTTTTATCGAAAGAAGTGCTATACCCTTCTCTTAAAGAGATAACAGAGAAGGTGAGTTGTTTACAGCATCTGTATGACTGTCTTAATCACTGTCCTACTGTTCTGGTCCCAGTGAAGCGGGTATATGCCTGTCATTAATTAAACATTTCTTTTAAAAAAATCTTCCAACACATTCCATTTAATATTTGGAGAAAAAAAGGACTAATATGATGCAATTTGCATTTAGTACCCTGGATGGTTGGAGAGCAACAAGCAATCCCTTCCCACAGACCAGTTCATGCGATATGAGC